CAACGTACAGTGCTACTTTGAACCGAGATTATCTGTCTCTCTGCTTTGCACTTACGCTGATATTCTTTATACTGCTAATAATTTGAAATTGATCTCTGGTCACACTTGAACGATTTTCAAATTTTCTACCTTTTTAAAAGCAAATCAAACTGAGATTATCCACAATGTTTTATAGAGCGAGCAGAATGAGAGCTTGACATCAGCATAAATAGATCTCGGTGAATTGTATTGCCTGACGCCAATAGTGCAAGCTGTAAATGCGATCAGAGGCGGAAAGTCCAGCAGGCGTACACGGAATCCTCTGAGGTTAATTCAGATTATGTATTTTTATTCATATCTGAACTTTGCAGCACATTATTTGTAATGAATATTCTTGTTTTTTAATTTCAAAAACATTAATGAGGCCACCAGCTTTTTGTGCCTGGTTTCAAAGCATTAATTTTATACACTTTATCATGAGTCAAACGCCATGACATCATCTATACTTTCAGTGATATTTTGCTATCCTGAGCAGGCAATAATTTTTTAATGTTGCCCACTTCACTGCATTATTGCCCACTACTCTTCTATTATTGCCTTAGTATACATTTCATTTCACTTCTGCATTTGTAAAGTCTCCGGCGTTTCTGAAGTCTCCTAAGATTTCTAGGCAACCAAGATGGTATGAATACCTCCATGCTATATACAGTACTACTACACGTAATATAACCATACATCCAGTTTGGCAAACTTAATTTCCAGAAATCATAAGTGGCTAGGCCCAGCTAAACGCAAGGGCAATAATTTAGTGGGCCATGGCTGAACTTTGAATGCTTAAATGTATGCATACATACATGTTCGATGTAAGGAAGAAAAAATGGGTTGACTTATAAAGCATTGATTAGACAAATAGTACCTCTAGAAAACATGTCACTATTTTCCAACAGTTAATTTATGTAATTTATTAACTTGAAGGATTGAAGGTAAAAATATTATATTTTCTTTGCCAATCCTTCAAATTCAAATTCTTTGTTTGCCTCCAATTGGAAGCTGATACATGATCTATTTAATTTTTTTTAAAAGAAGCTTTTTAGAGCTTTCAATATTTTTTATGGACATTATTTTTTAACTATGAAAATGGTGTTAGGAAAATATGACCCATTGTATACAGTAAATACCTAATGGTACCAGTAAATATAAATTATACATAAGTAAAAAAAAATTAGTAAGGTTTGACATTTTCATAATAAAAGTGAAAATATATAAATTTGTTATAATACCAGTAAGTATCTTTAAAATAATGTAAATTGTATAGAAGTTAGTTTAGAGGATTCGAAACCAGGAACGTAGGGAAGGATGTTAAGCACCTTAGCTGTATAACCATCACACAACAGGACATACATGTAAGAATAATGTTGGAACTCTTTGATTATCTACCATTAACTTTTTTACACCATGTGCATGGCCTGATGTAAAATGTGAATTTATAGATGTGGTACTTTTTAAGTACATGCTTAAATCTGTCGATGAATCCATTATCTTTTTTTTAAAATTATTATGAAAGTAATCATAGGGTATTTATTCATTTAAATATTTACAAATTCTAATGAGAAAAATATTTTTTTTTTACCTGCCCAGGAGCAATGAAATCATAGTGTGTGTCTGTGTTAACAAAAATGATTTCTCAAGCTTTTTGACCCTTCGTCGACCTTTTCTCTGTTCTGTTTATTCCTTGCTATCATTATTATTCTCTCCTTTAAATTAATGTCTGAACTTTCGGCTTCTTTGTTGTGACTGTGAGGGTAGGCAGTTAAACATAATTACAAAATTATCATGTGATCTAAGTAATTTAGTGATAAATAAAGATGAATGTGTACAACATGGTTAAATTTAATGTATTTCTCTCGGAGAAACAATTGTATAAATATTACAAAGATAATTATTAAAATAGAATGTTTTCTTTTATTTTCAGATACATAGAAGCCATTTTTTTTAAACATTATCTTTTGCGTCAAAATTGTGTACATAAAAGTACATAAAATCACATCCAAAATTTCAGTCTTTTTCCAGAAATATTCAAGGCAAGAAAATTCAGAAAAATATTTTTATTAAAAAAAAAAATGTCTGTTTGCATTTACCAGATGCATGAACATTATAAAAAATTTAAAAAATTTTAACAGTATTTTACACATCTCAAAAAAATAAAAAAAACCAAACAAAAACAATAAACATTATACTGAGAAACATAATAAACATTATTGCCACTGAATATTTAAAAAAAAATTCAATTGGAATGAAAGTACAATAATATTGTACTTTTACTTTTTTGTAACTTTTACTATTTTTGTACTTTCTTACTTTATATTTGGAGTTTGAAAAAAAGAATCAAATTAATCATTATTGCCATAGTTACTATAATTTTAATATTGTTTCACATAAACAATTAATAAATTGCTGAATGAAATGAACCATTCCCATCACTTGTAATTTTATTCAACAATTGTACATATACCAGATATCTCATCAGTGACTAGTGTACAATCATAGACTTGCCGTTGCATTGATTATCAACTTATTGGATTAACGGTATTAATGAAGCACTTCCCGATACAAGATACGCATCCTAATAACGACATCTCCCTTTCCTTTAGCCATTTATATCCAGTTGATGATCTACTAGAAAATTTAAACAAAATGTTGATTGTCAAAATTTGATAAATGAAATCTACGATAGTAGAATAAATCCAAGGCTATGAAGAATTGTTGTTGTGAGGGTAAAATATTTAACACAAAACATTCAATTTGATTCAAAAATTTCATTTCGCTCACGTTTTAAGCTACGTGTTGTTTTCAGCGGCTATCCTGAATGCATATAATTATGAACGATAGAAAAAATTAAAGAAAATGAATATTGTAAGGTTATTGGATGTGTTAACACAACTATCGGTTGATTTTCGCTGTTACAGTGATTCATCATTTTTCCCATCTTTGCAATATTCTTCTTCGGTGCAAGGTAAATAACCCTGCCTTTATTAATTCTTTTGGCCTTTGGCCCATCAAAAACAAAGAATTTTAAAACATTGGTATTAATGATATAGCACTTCACAGATGATGATGAAAGTAATAATAATAATAATAATAATAATAATAAATAATAAAAAATAATAATAACTCAGATTTAAGGGGAATATCTTTTGTGTTATTTTCCCCTTAACGTCGTTTTTTTTTTAAATTGTTCTCTAAATTTTCCATTGTCTTAGTTCCCCTTAAGGTAGGTTTTAGTAACATTTAATAATAATAATAATAATAATAATAATAATAGTCACATACATTTACAGTAAGATACTATTTCTCCCCTCTATTTTAACTTTCTTAATTCTTGATAGCAATTACTAGATTTATCAGAGAGTTGCATAAACACAATACTAAATACAAATGAAAAATATAATTTATACATTGGATATATAGAAGATCAATAGAAAAAAATAATAATTTGAGTTACTGCAGATGAGAAAAAAAATGTAATCATTTTAGTTAAAGCACATATAAAGTAGGATAGAAACTCTAGGCCAAACTGTATACATGCCCTGTAATCGGAGACTCATTTATAATGTCCTGAGGACTGTAATTAAAAGTTGTGAATGTACTTTATGGAACTGTGGATTTAGAGGAGCAGACAGAATTAGTTTTAATTTGTTGCTGGGCAGTTTGGAGTAGCACACAAATGGATATATTACGGCAAGTTCATTGTCACATTTGACATTCCGATGTCACACATGGGCTTTCAATTTGAACTGAAATATCAGAAATTCTGAAGGTTGGTTGATTAAGGTGGTTGATTATTTCTCTGCAGCACTGTTAATTCTGAGTTATTGCGGCGTAAATGTCCTCTTCCCCACTCTTAACAAATACCAGTTGAAAGTACTTTCAAACAAAGGTTTTACATTAAGATTTGTATTCTGGTATTTTTTAGAATGAACCATAACCTTATGTTACCAATAATGATTCGCACAATTGAATGTAAAAAGCGGACATTTAATTCAGCTCTGTAACATATCAGTGTCTTTTATACTAATCTAATTTACCCAAGCATACCACGTAGACAATTTTTTTTTCATATATTTTTGTTCACACCGATTGAATTCAAATCTTTCGTATAAATGTAAGTCGGCCTACTTGTCAGTTTGAAGTGATTAGAGTTGGACAGGTATGTCTGGGTCATCTCAGCATGTTCTTACTATCTAATGTAATCCATTATGTATCTAGGACAACAAACATCCATTAAAGGCTATCCCAGTGACATGTATGTCACAGAATGTTCCCCCCGCTGTACGTTTTGGCCTCACTTGAATCGTTCAGTGGAGGCTCGTATTATTCTGAGTATCAGTTGGACAGATTCGATTACAAACGATTTGACGTGTTGTCTGAGTCCGGACTTGACCTTTGCCTGTTTACGGTGTGCGTAATAAGCCAGTTCTCCCGAGCCAATTTATAGTATAAGGGCCGTGACAGGTTTTTTTTCCTATCGTTTATATTATACACAGTCAGGCTTCTTGTATTAAAATATTCTACAATTAAATCTTCATGGTTGGTTTTTTGTTCTTTTACTGATAAATATGCCCAAAACTGCAGGAATTTATAATTGTGTAATTATTTACTTGGAACGCTTCAGGTTATGGTAGTTTTTACTGGTGTCTGGACAGTGGTGTGTTATTTGACATCTGTGATTTCAGATAAATTCTACTGCAAGCTATGGACATCCAACAGAGCCCTGGCAATCGCCTTTCTCTGCCACTTCTAATTATGCATTTTCTCACCATGATATTTCTGGGCCTCAGGCCACACCCATTTTTTTCTAAATATGAATATCATGCATAAAACACACAACCATATTCCCAACCAGTTGAATTATTTGTGATTTATCCTGTTACTTTAGAATGTCACTGTTTTATCTTTATTAGCTTGGTATCCCACAATCACCATTTTACCACCTCATCATTTCCAATCCACGAATCAAGCCCCAACCATATTTTATGTACAATTATTATTCTTTACGATCTCAGATTTGCTAGGTATTAACACAAAGTCAATTAATGTCTCCGAATGCAGCTATAGATTTAAGTAGACATTTAGTGGTGGAGATGAACTGCGCTATTTAAAAATCTGCTTATGGTTTAATCACTTACTTTGAAACACCAGTAAACTATTAGCATAATTCCGAAAACCTGTGTATATTGTATAACCGTGCCGGGAGAAAAGTCTGTCGTATTTAAATTTATGTATTGCTAAGCCAACAGTGTTGCAAGGGATTTTAATGGCGTGTTTTTGAAAATAGGTGATATGTGCAGGTGGCCGGGACTGATATCGGTTCATTCGAGTTATGAGCGTGTACTGTATCCATTTTAACCTTTCAGCATGGTGTTCCTATTGCAGTATAGGCAGGTGCACAAGTATATGGTAACAGGTAGGCAAGCCAACATCTTTACTGTAACCCAGTAAACAAAATCTCTCGGGACGGTTTTCCTGTACATTTTCATGGACTGTTTGATGTTTTCTCACAGTGACTTAATATTTTTTGCATTTTCAACCTGTTAATCATTGATGAAAGAGTTAACAAATGTCTTCCCAAATGTGGTGTTATTACCTCATAAAGCAGGGTGGGAATTTCCACCTCTGATTTTTATATATGGTATTAAGGTGGTTTGTACTATAACAATATAATTTAAAAAACAAACTGGTGGATTTAAAATTATCACATGTTTTTAAATCTTATTTATACTGTGTGTTTATACTTTATTAACTCTGTTAAATTATAATCTAGGTTTAGGTGGAGAACTTCAAAATCTGATTATGTTGTTGGTCATATTAGTGACCATTCATGTTCTTGGTCTCAATGTTGACCCTTCATGATCTTGGTCTAGAGAGTGACCATTCTTATTCTTGGACTTGAAGATGATTATAGGTTCTCAGAAGTGACATTTCATGTTCTTTTCTCAAGGTTGACCCTTCAAACTTGGTCTCACCAGTGACCATTATGGTCTGGATGGTGATCCTGATGATCTTGTCCTAATTTTGACCCTTCACGATAATGGTCTAATTGGTGACCCTTCTTGACCTTGGTCTCAATAGTCACCCTTCAAAATATGGGTCAGAAAACTCATCCTTTCTCAATGTTGCACCGTACATTGTAACTTTATTTTTAGTTTATTGTTATTTCTCTGCAATCTTCAATCTACAGTTTTCCTTTGTGAATTTTAAATCCTCCTTATTGACTGTTTGTATATTCAACTTTTCTTTGTAAAAATTGATTTCAAAATTTCAGTCACACTTATAGTGGAGTTGTTACCATGTTTGAGTTGGTTGCCTTACAGTTTCAGTGTATAGGGTTCGAATCCTGACCAGGATTTTTCCCCTTGGTCCCCTTCCCCTAGAAAAACTATTGCACTCCTTAAGTCTCATAATGAGTTTAAGGGCATTATGTTAATCCACTATGAATGAACATGATATTGTAGAAGTTGAAAGGTGGCCTAATAAATAGATGGTAAAAACATGCTTTTCCCATCCCTGAAAATGTAGGCCTACAGTTTAATGTTACAAAAAGTTAATAATTAATATTGAATTCACAGGTTGACAAGCACTTTCTAGAAAAATATGTGATTTTGTATAATAGGTTGTTTGTCCAGAATATGATGAAGGTCCAGAGCACAATAACGGAAGAGATCGGTGAATAGTATAATAGAGCATTGCTCCGAAATCAGGATAAGCACATACTACTGTACTGATGTCATTTAGGTCAAGGATTTTCTGCAGACTTTATTTACATTTCCTTAATAGAGCAGTCCAATTGTGTACCTGCTCTTACACATAATGTAGCGTCGTCCATTGTCCACCGGTTCATGTTAATCCATCCGTGAACCCTGTCTTTTTAGGAGTGCCCAATAGGTCTTTTCATTGGCCTTGTTGATTTCATTTTTTTGTTGTACGGCTCAGCAGAGGTGAATGTTGGGATAATCATTATACCGTCGTCTGTGTAAAATCGATTGATTGTTGAATAATTGAGTAAAAATTTACTGGTTGGTTATAATGAACCTTATGATAAACACGAACAATTGGAGTTACACGTCGATACAGTACATGCATGTTTTGTCCCATGTACACTGGCTTTAGTTCATGCAGCTATTCAATAGATGCTTGAGTCCAGAATTAAACGATTCATAATCTGTTGGTATGATAGAATGGGTACAGTGTATTTATTTGTTTTATAATTTATGTACTGTATGAAATTAACCCGGTACAATGGATTACCGTTTCTCTCTCATGAATATTATAAAAGACAAAAGCAAAAGCATCCAAATTTATAGTGTATATCTAGTTACTGTACTAGAATGTCTATTTGTTTACGCAGCACTTCCGTGATGATTAGTGAGGGCGCACGCCAACTGTAACCTTTAGAATAGACAAATTTTATGTATAGTCTGTAAACAATTTATAAACTTTGAAATGTAAAACCTGTCTCAGTAAATTCCTTTATTGATTTTTACTTATTTATTATCTCTTTGGCAGAAAAATTTATATAAATATAGGCCTATTTGATATTTGGCCACAAATAACAATGTTCAAGGTACATTTGCTATAACCTTTTTTTTAACTACCTCTTTTTTAATATAAATATTAAGTAAGAAATTGAAACTAGAAATCAAACTGAAACACTTGGTAGATGATAACCAAATAGAAATTATAGACTATTTTAGTATGTTTCATTTTTTTTATAGTTGCAATTTTTAAACTTATTTAACAGTGTTCAAGGTATAATTGTTAAGCTATAAGCTTCCCTTAACTACCTCTTTTACAATATTAATATTAAGTAAGAAATTAATAAATTAGAAATCAAATTGAAACACTTACTGTAGTAGATGATAAATAGATATTATGGGCGATATTTCAGTATGTTTCATTTTTTTATAGTTGCAATTTTTAAAAAGTTTTTATTAACAGTGTTCAAGGTGCAATTATAAATAAGCTATAAGCTTTTCTTAACTATCTCTTTTACAATATAAATATTAAGTAAGAAATTAATAAACTAGAAATTAAAACACTTTGGTAGATGATAAGGACGATATTTTAGTATATTTCATTTTTTTATAGTTGCAACATTTCAAAAGTTTATTTTTTAGTTCAGTGTGGATTGTAGAGATCTTACAAAACAGTATGTATTGTTCACACAATGGCTATAAATATGTTATTTTTGTATTTTTTAAACCATTGTATTTTAATGGATAGTAATTCCACTAAATATCTCTATTGGTAAACTTAACCTTTTTTTTTACAATTTGTATAAAGGTTATTTATTATTTTTGTATTTAATTTTTGTACAACAACAAGAAACTCGGTCTCAATATGAGGAATCGGGAGTGAAGTTGCTTATAGGTCATGAGAGAAGTCTAGGTGTTTGCAGAGTTTAAATACAAGACCATGGGATCGTACAGCAAGACTCATAATCATCAACCTACTTAGCTTAACTGTAATGAAAGTGGTTATTCCAAAATAGAACCTCCTTATAAAACCTTGAATGTGTTACCAAAGAGTGTAGTTTCTTTTTGTTAAAAATGTGTATTTTGATGTTAAAAAATATCAACATATAGTATGTTCAGCTGTTCATATTATATTCACATAATTGCTCCAGATATTATATAAATTAATGTAAATGAATCTATTAAATTCCAATATTGTAATTGCTTGACAAACCAGGCAGATGAATTGTACATGATGGTTTTGTAAGTTTCTACAGATGTGTATTACTGTATGTATATCATTAACCACTTGTGATGCCTGGTGAATTGATAATAATTATAATATTTATAATAGATATTAGAATATAGCGTACAATACAAAGGCCATACTTATGCCCTTTTCAAGATAAAAAGGAATCAAATGGAATGAGAAAAAAATTATTGTGTGGTTGTTATTTTGAATGTAAAATGTAAATTGCTTTTTATACTTTCTTCTGATTAAGATTTCTTTATTTTGCCCTAAAGGAAATTACAGTAGGTGTAAAAGTACATTGCAGAAAAAAAACTAAAAAAAAAAAAAATAAGACACATCAATTAAAGGTTATAATAAAACATTCCGTGTTTTAATTTTTTTCTCAGAAGAAAACGAAACTTTAGAAGAGCCGTTGGAAGGGGACGAAGCTCCCAAAAGCGACCTAATAACATGCGGTATCTGCCAACAAGATTTCGAGCTGAGCGATATCGTGAAGTTCATTGATCATAAACGAAAATGTCCACAAAGAAATAATATCGAAAATAATCATAAAGAGCCACACAATGACGTGGGTGGGAAAGCATTGGTGCGGAGGGCACAAAAAACGAAAATCATAACTAACATGAGGAGGCAAGAGAGGGGGAGCTCCTCATGGGATTCGCCAATCAGCAATTCAACACCGGTGGTCAAATCTAATGAGGATCATTCCGAACAGAATAAAAAAGGTATTTTGTGTTGTTTTTATATATTTAAAGACTATTATGATATTAATCTTGTAATTAAGTAGTATTGTAACTCTACTTGGAAAAGAAGAAATTTATCAAGGAAAATATGTAAAATTCAAAAGAATTTAGTTAAAATGACATGCTTCGGAGGAAAACATTTTTTTTAAATGTTTGTAGAACTCATTTTTCTAAGTCACATAAAGTTTGTTTGACAAAAAAAAAAACAGGAACGGTAAATGAGATACATATTTTTGAATATTTAAAAACTGGGGGATAAATTGTGCAACCACCCTTTTTCCACGTTTTTCTCCCTGTTGTTCAAAATATCAAACATTTTTATCCTCCTTGAGTCTGGTTTTATACTAATGAGAAAAAATAGTTTTCACTGACTTACAGATATTTTAATATAAAAAGCTATAAATTTATTACCATACATTTTAAGAGTCTATGCAAAGAAAATAAGAGTCTGTGATACAATATTTTCTCTAAGTACATTTTCAATTAAAAGCTAATACTTTAAATATAGAAAAAGAATCAATTTAAATACTTAATTTTGATTTTACAAGTATATGAGATTTCTAATTGGAATAAATATACATAGATAAACAATTCCAAATACATTACATCATATGACAGCAATTCTGAATTGTGATGGTATTTACAATAGTTTTAAATGTATAAATATAACATACAAAAGAGTACAAAAAACACTGAAATGGATAAAAAAAAAATTAGACTACATGTTAGACATATAAATGTAAAAATATAAAATCTAAGAGGAAAATACAATTACATCAAAATTAAATTATTATTACTTGTATAAAAAAAAACTTTGCCATTTAACATCAAAATGACAGTACATAAACAATTTGGAAAAAACATTTGTTATTTACAATTTATTGACAATTGTGTTTTACATTAAGATTATACAGTACATTAAATATGTATTAGCCAGAACAATTTCATTTGATAATATTGTGCATTTATAAAGAATTAAAATCAGCCTAATATTGAAGATGTATTGTCCCATGAAAAATACCAAAAAATATCATAAATATCGTTTTTGAAATTAACTTGCTAATTTAAAGTAACATAAAAAATTCTGTAGAAATGTTGGAATTATTGTATTTAAAAAAATGTTTACCCATAATTTTACAGGGAAAAAAATTATAGAAATACTTACATTCACTGGAAGTGGTTTTATTAGTTTTATCCTCCAGTATAAAAATACTTTTTTACTACTGTACTATACTATTTTTTTAAAATGATTTTTGTCATTTTCCGGGATAGTACATCTTTATGATCTTAATAAAATGCAACCTTGATGACATTTTTCATTTCATTGTCAAGTTGTTCTATAAGACCTGTGCCATACCATCCTTTGAGTTCTATGGCCTTGCCTAATTTAAGATCTCTGTCACTAAATCGGATTGATACTTTACTAAATTTATTTGTGCTCTTTTTATGGCGGTTTACGATTTCTTCAAATCAAATTTCTGTTTGGGTACGTTTCCATGTATTTCTAAATCACATGAATTATATACTGGTCTAAATGACAATAAAAAGTACCTTTGACCTGTCAAACTTTTTAATTTAAATTCACTCACAAAACGTTGAACTTTGACTTGCGCTGCATGGTAAATGCAAACGGCTCGATGACATATTATGCAGTAGTCAAATGGGAATTGAGAATGCGGGCCGGATGGAAAATTATAATAAACATGGCGTTTCATCAGTGGACTCAATGGGCGTCACCTTGAAGCCTTTGCCACTTGCGTATTCCCGGAACAAAACAAGTCCTTGATAGAAATTTTTCAGATTATTCCTTGTGATAAAACACTTAATTGTATTCACACTCCTGGAAAAGTGTTAAGACATGAAGCTTCTACAGCATTTGTAAAGTAGCATTGAAAAACACAACAGGGTGTCACCGCTGGGTGTGTGCTTTAAATACCCATGTATCTCGTTGGATCCTCTAAAACGCCCTTTGAATTCTGCCGTGGAGTTCACGCCATGGCCTGGTTTTTTTTTGGTCCTTGGCTAATAACGATTGACAGCCCTGTGTTTCTGTGGCAAAGTGATAGGTTTAAAAAGACCCGTCGTTCTATATCCTTATTTCCCGTTTTGTTTGAATCGCAGAGCTTCGGTTGTCAACCAGAATGCGCAAGTGAAGTAAACAGTTTTAGAATTTGTCAAAATTGAGTAATGTTAGGATTGAGCCTGTTTCCAATTATACATGAAACATCCTTGAAAATCTCCTCAGACTCTATTAAGATTTATGCTTAACAATTTATTCAATTGCACAAAATGTCATGAAAATGGTTCCATTTCAAAGCAGGGTTACGATGTTTCGGTTGTCGCGACACTGAAAAGAATGCATATATCAAGGGGCTACCACAATTGAATTACAAAGTGCACAACATCTGGTTACATTCAAATCTCTTATCTTGTTAACCTTACATTTCTTTTTCTTCTCGAAAAATAAACATTCTTAAAGAATGGAAATACTCTGTAATTACACAAGAAAATATGAAAGTATTTCACAGTAAACTGAAATTTATTCCCTAATAAAAAAAATAAGTATAACCAACAATTATTATTATTTTAAATTTCAATCACGCACTAAAATTTTTTCAATGTTTTAATGATCATATCACATAAACTCCTGCAGTAATAAGACGATTGAGATCATAGGTCAGAGGTCAGTGTAATAAATCAGATTTTGTTCCTATGTCTGCAATTCACATAGATTTACTAAATGTCAGTATTATTTAGTCTATCTACATGTTGTCTTGATAAGTTGGTGCTGTGATCTCTTTCCCCATTTAAAAAATATTTTTCTGTTTTTAAAAATGTGTTTCACTTTTATGCTTGGAAATGATGTGAAAAGTCCACCACAGTTGATCTGAGTCTTTCACCGACATGACATCCTTATTGCCCCAATAACATATTCCCTGTTGCCGTCACATGTATTTCTATATTGTTGTTACCTCTACATAGCAGTTAGCCACTTGCTTTCTGCAAATAATTGGAGTTCAATTTCACGAGGGAGTGTTGTGTTGACCCCCTCGCAGGTGCAACATGAAGTTGAAGTGACATCATAAATTTCCCATTGGTTGCTTTGACTGAGCGCTTTTTTATATCTGGCGCCATCTAAATTTCCGCAACACATATGCCAGTCATTGGATCGTAAACCTATTTCACAGAAGATATGGAATCTTATAGTATTTTTCACAACTGCTAGATCATGGCATCGTTAAGTCTCTCCCACAACATTCCCAACCATTTTTCATCATTCCAATTTATTAATCTACTAAACAAATCAAAGAAAACATATTAGCTCACTTTTAAACACCACAACCCCTACATAATTCTGTATCTACATATTTCTCTGAACACACCACTACACGCAACCCTTACACATTCTCTTAAGTAAAATCTAACACTCAACTAAACACAACTACACAGACCTGTTACTTACCTTCTTTTAATGCTTTTGTCTTTTGTACAGGAGATGATGAACCTGTAATCCACATCTGCTCAACTTGCAAACAGGAGTTCAGCAGTGCCTGGAGTCTGCTAATCCATGCACAGAATCAGCATGGCATGAAGATCTATCAAGAACAGGCAGAACAAATGGAGAATGATAGCCAATCTCCACATTCTGTTCAATCCGTTGACACAATACTGGCTGATGTCTCTTTGCCAGCGACCTCTGTGATGACTGGATCTCCCACCCGCCCAACTCCAATCAAGCCTTACCCAGACCCACCTCTTTATCCAACACCGGCTATAAAACCCCCTTCACATGGGAATGGGAGTCCTCCAAGGCTGCAACACATTGATGCTAGAAGCCGATCAATGTATCATCATCATCACCCGGCACTATTGGAGCGATACCAGATCAGAAGTGGTGGACCAGACCATCTATATGGTCCTCCTCCAATGACTCCAAAGGATTGGAATTTGCACTATGAATGTCCTTTAGGATCTGCCTTTGAAGAAATAGGCCTTTCGTACAAACAAACACCAAGTCAACCAGTAATACCAATTGACCGTAGCCCAGATTATTTCTCTCAAAGACTAAGAAATGTAGTGGCAAAAAGGCCACCAGAAACGCAACCCGAAACACAAATTAAGAGACGGCCCGTTCACCCTTCAGTATTTCCTTACTCTTTGTTGAAGACTTCTCCAGTACAACCGAAGGACAAAATCTGCGAATTCTGTGGGAAGTGCTTCAAATTCCAAAGTAATCTGATAGTACACCGTCGATCGCATACTGGTGAAAAACCTTTCAAATGCAAGCTGTGTGACCACGCCTGTAGTCAGGCAAGCAAACTCAAACGGCATATGAACACTCACAAATTGCGCTTACGTCAACCGTTTGATGGCCCTGGCCATCAGGACAATGAAGTAACAAGCCCGACAGATGAAGAATTATCAATTTCTTCATCTCAATCAGATAACAATGGCACCATCAATTCAGCACTGAAATTCATAACCGATAAAACCTCTCCAAATAACTCAGAGGAAGAAGAGGAGGAGGAGGAGGAGGAAGAGGAAGAGGAGGAAGAAGAAGAACTTGTGGAGGATGGTGTACCAGAGGAGGAAAATGGTGGCACTGAGGGAATTGATAAAGAAATTAAGAAAGAAAATGATCTTGAGAGCAAAAATGAAAAAAGCGAGACAAAAACAGAAACTGAATCAAGAAGTAACACCCCAGTTAATCAAGTTGGAATTAAACAATGCGAAAGTATCTCTCTTCTGAGCGATGTTATGGCTCAAACAGGTCTTAGCGATATTCCAACTTACAATGAAGCGTTTGAACAAGCTATGAGAGAAAGAACAATTTCTGAAAAACCAGAACTGCCACAACGACCAGCAAGCCAACCGGAGTGGCCTAAGGCAAGCTATCCCACTGAAAAGTCTCCGCAGGATCCCGGACCATCAAGGAGATTAAGTCCAAGTGACAGACCATCTCCGGACCATCCTAGTTTTTCCAGAATTTCAATTTCTCCCAGAATAAAAGATGGTAGGGGAAGTGTAGGAGAGCCCCCTAGTATAATGGAATTTAACAAAAATATAAAAAAGGAACCACCTCCAATGTGGCCGTTGGATCATGTGAGAGAAGTTATCGCGTGTCACACTTCACCAATTGATATTGGGAACATGAATGGCAGGTACAGGGGAACACCCTTTCCACCAACAGTCTCGGCGGAGTCGATCATGTCTACAACTTCTTCTCGACCGGCGATAAGCCTTGTGCCGCCCGCAAGACCACCGAGGCCGGCCGGGGAACGCAGAAGCGACAAATGCGAGTACTGTGGCAAGATCTTTAAGAACTGCAGCAATTTGACAGTGCATCGCCGGAGCCATACTGGTGAGAAACCGTACAAATGTCAGTTATGTAACTACGCTTGTGCGCAAAGTAGTAAGTTGACACGGCACATGAAGACGCACGGTCAAGGTGCGAAAGAAGTGTTTAAATGTGAAGTATGTTCAATGCCTTTCTCTGTATATAGCACGTTAGAGAAGCACATGAAAAAATGGCACTGGGGAGCAATTAAAGGTACAATACCAAGACCTGAACCAGTTCTAGGTCACAACTGAATAATGGTAGACTCCTTAAAATATTGTCTTGTTTGTAGGTAAATATTTGAGCTCATTCTTGTTAATTTTCATTGGAAATTTAATGTTTAAACTCGAAGCTGCAAATGACAATCTCAGCATTAGATTCTAATATACTAATTAGAAAATTTGGGGTTATTTTTTTTTCCAACTGTTACCTAACCCCCTTGTAACATACCTCCTGTCTAACACATATACTCACCTACTGCCGTTTTCATTTATAATAACAGATATTTGCAGATTACTGGTTCAGTTTACGGACCGATTGTCTTCTATAATATGGCTGTTTTAGAAAATTTAATATAGATTGCATATTATACATTTTTGCCTTTCTGAAAAAAATATTATTAATATTATTATAATTAAGGTGGTTTTGTATGAAATTATTATCAAGAGCAAGATTTTAACTTTCTTTTTAACGACACACCGACAAAATAGAGAGAAAAAGAGTTTTTTGCTATAGCATTTATATGTGCATACTGTATGTATGTCAACTTTGAGTTCGTTGCTTGTTGTTGTGCTGGCCAAACCTTGTTGTACAAACAAGACATAGTGTTGTGCAATATAACCAGGATTAGCCTGAGCTTCAAGTATTTGCTCAAACATAATGTTTTAAAAAACAATTCTTGAAACAATTGATTGTTTCCACTGAACAAAAGAAGTATAATATTAGTAAATTTCTGAAAGTCATGGTTTTTTAAACAGAAATAAACATCAATTCTTAGATATCAAAATTCATTTTGCTAACATGTTTTAAAAATAGGTGATAATTTTGCATTAATTTTTTTATGATATATGGTGAAAAGTTTGAATACCAAAATTGGTAATATTTTATAGGGGAAAAGGGAGTTATTGCATTATTTTATTGTCGGCATCATGTAAGTATTTAAAATTTTAAGAAAACAATTTTATACAGACATTTGGTTCTATTCTCCAGATAAGGAGAAGATTCATTTTTTTCGGACCAATATGTGATGGTTTCTATACTAAATATTTTAGAGATAGACATTTAGAGAAAAAAATCTGGGGATAAAACTAAGCATTATAGAGTCATCTATTTGTAGTTAATAGTAAGTAATAGGAATAACTGTTATTAATATTTATTTGTATTATGCAAATCCATAATTTGTTTGAATGCTTGGCTTAATCCCTGCTCACACAATCAAGATTTATGAGCAAATATGTGTGATTTGTCCATATACAGGCATGATGACATCATAACACATTATATGGGCAAAATGATGTCATAACATACATGGGCATGCTGATGTCATAATATACATTGGTATGATGATGTCATATAATATTAATAATATAATATTAGTAATATTATTACACCTATATATGACCATGATGGCAAATTACATGTATTTGTCGTATATAAACGTGATAGTACATGGACTGAGATTGATAGATGTTATTGGTAAGGTTTTTATAAGACTAATCCTTAGTAAATTTAAAAATATATATATTTTTTAAAAGCTGGGTGGTTGCTCAGAACCAAATACTAAACTGTATACCCTTCTCTCTGTACTCAATAACAGCTTAGTCACAGAAAGCGGGGGAGCACCATTATGAATCAAATAGTGTCGGTAGTAAACTCCTGATTGTTCTCTTCTAAACTAAGTAACTTTACTTTTAAAAAGAAATAAGTATTTTTAACTAAAAACCTAAGGTCATTTTGTGCATGAATGATGGTGAATTAGAACAACTAACCCTCCTTGATATCCTGATATAAATGGCCCAAGGCAGAGTAATTGTACAATGGGTTTTGTTATTAATATGCAGTATTCCAATTCTTCCTCATATATATTAAATAATAATGAATTTGTTATGGAGTAGCCCCTCCATTAGGGATATTTAAAGGTGTTATATGACATCCTAAAATATGAATTAGGAACAACCATTTTTCATAACCCATTTTTTAAAACATTTTATAGAGATGGAGAATGAAGCATCAATCAAACACTGTATTTTATCCTCAACAGGATTTATTAGATCCATTAGATTGTCTTGAAAACCTATGGTTACATATTTTTCAAATCGTGTGTGAGATCGTATATAGGCATAAGTTGAAGGTTGATTAGTCGTCAAAATGTTCGTATGGACTTTATTCTGTTTGTTAGATACCCATATTACACAGCAACAGGTGTTTCTTTCCCACCCCCACTAAAAATTGTAAAGTATTTTTTTTAAAGTGAACTTATTGGCGGAAGATATCCATTTTATACAGAATAAATAAATTATTTGCAATATTTATAAAGTAGATATTAAGAATCTACACATTTACGAATCTATAAATTTATAAATCTACAAATCTGCGTGGTTAGTTTCAACCAGATCATGAAGACGAAAGTGCTGAATACACACGTAGAGCAATATAAATAATTAATCAAAGACACTAGGTTACAAACTCAACATTTTATTTTGCACTACAGACTGTTTCATGAGGACACAGCCTCAATCATCAGGTGCTCGACTCTGATTCAGTGTCTTTGATTACTTATTTAAATCTACAAATCAAATTTTTTGTCAAAACTAAAATTAACTATGGTTCATTATTTTTTTATATACTGTATCATTATTTTTTTTTGTATACTGTATATGCCTGCATTTGCGAAGTTTATTATGCAGGTTGACTCTGGAAGAAAGTGCAAATTTCGTTCATTTTATGTGTTCATTAATGTTCCTTCAAGATGTTTAACCACTGTGAAAGCAAGACATTTAAAAAAATGTTCACCTCAAAATTCCAAGTCAGCTAATTTCACTTTTCTTTTTTTTTTTTTTTTTTTTGAATTTGTATAAACCCTTACTCTATCCAAGTATTATATTATGGTTAATGAGATAAACAATTTAATTTATATTTATTCTTAAAACAATTATAATGCTTTTTAATGACCAGCCATTTGATATCTGTTACTTTTTTGCAAATATTATTAGTACCAAGGACCCATTGTTCTTATCTTCCTTAAAATATCATAGCTCAACCATTTCAGCACAGTATTTATTGTTTTACATGCTTTGCCTTCCACGACTGTTCTTCAGTAGGTCCTATGTACTCTAAAATTGTTTTAATTTCGCAATTTTAAACAAACGGTTAATTGTTATTTTTAAAGATATACTTCGGTATGTTGGCAGTTTCCCTCCAAATATTAAAACCTTTCAGGCAACATAATAGTAACTACACTGCAGAATGGACTGTTAATAGATTATTCTCCAAGCTTCATTTCATGACAATTTGTGTAAATTTATAATTTGGATATATTGTCCCGTCGATTAATTTATAGATCGTCTTGATATGATGACCTTTTATTTCCCCCTGCAATAATATCAGTCCGACGAAAAGAGCACAACCGTTTGATTCATACTCGTTCCGTTTTAATGTTATCATAATTGCAGCATTATATTCTAGTGATATTAACCAAAGGCTTACTTAACCTAATTCGAAAGATTTATTATTCAAAGCTATGTCTGGAGTCGGCACCGAGTGAACGAACTATTATCAGGGGCTATTTTTCCCTGGGATTTGTGAAAATGCAAATGAATATTCAAGTATAATGACTGGACTGGGAAGTACCAGCAGTTCGAATTTGCATTTTACAACCAAGCTTGCTGGCTGCGTATGCCACGAACTCCAACAGTCCTGTTGCGTCTCATAATTAAACTTGATGCTTATTTTTTTTTATTTATTTTTTTTTTTAACTCGGACGAAACACTAAAATGCAGTGCGTCTTTGTGCCACGATGCTGGACTTGTTCACAAAGCTTATAAAATGCAAGTTCGTTCACTCTTAATATGCATATGTTCATTTGTTCTTTAAATAATGTCTGAAAAAATTTCAACGTTATTGGCATTTCATTTGCCGAATAGTTAAAAAGGTCTAGACGCTGTTTGACCTTGCCGATCAATTCCTCCTTTGTGAAATGATATTTTAGCCTGGGGGCAAAGCATCTTTTGAACAGTGCGCCTCGCCAGCCGAAACCTGCCTATTATAAAACTTTCGCGATCCGTTCGCCGTTATTATGCAATTTCTCTAGCCTAAATTTGTTCTATTTTGACCCAATTGCCAGGTCACTGTTTTATCGTAGTTACCACATTCGCAAACCTGTTAGAAATTACAAGACCTAAATTTTGCATTTCATAATCAGTCCGAGATAGAAACACCAGTCATACAAACCATTAAAACCGATTGCGTATTATTCGTTCAGCAGCATGGCTTGTGTGTTATGCATTTCCCCATTAACTTAATTTTAACAGATACGCCCGTATGTTTGCCGCAATATTTCCATACATTTAATTGAACTCTTTGAATATTAAAAGCAACATATGAACTTTGAAAACAAAACAAAAAAAAGTTGTTAGTGAATTAAAGACACTAAGTGTTTCCTTTAGAAATTCCAAATAGGCCTGCCCATGAAATCTTAGGCGACTGAAACATGGTAAAAAGATGCCGTTTGGATTGTTAATTTGTAAATCTTGGAAAAGTTTTAGGCTATAAAATAATATTTTACTGATTTTTGACGAATCTATTCATTCATAATTATTTTATAGGTAATCAATCCATTAATATATTTCATACCACTGATTGTGTATTGTTAGATTTTTTTTATGGGAGGGGTCTTAAGGAGGTAGATGCACTGGCGTGGATTGTCACGATGAATTCGTTTTTAGATGGATCTCATAAATTCTTTAATGTTTGTCTTCGATTTAATAGCCTTCAATGTATGCTTTCATTTACTTGGTGTTTTGCACTTCATCACCGCATTAGAACAGAATGGATTATGGGACAGGGCTCCTAACTGTTGTATTAATTCAAGAAAGTATCACCTTTGTAAAGAACTCGTTCAATCGATGAATATGGCTCGAAGCGTCTGTCGATGCTATTATTAATCCATTCAATCCAGGGTAACCTCTTTTTTTTTTTTCCTTTTTTTTTTATTTTAGCTCATTAGGTTTCTAGTTGGACCCGATTTTTATTTCGTCAGGTATATAGGCCTAAATTGATCCTAAATGCGATCATTTACACCAAGCAAATCAATCCGTTTAAATTCCGCAAGCTCACGAAAAATAGGCTACGCGTTGATTTACTCTCAAGTACCACGTATTAATCTTCGCGACTTTGTTCGTGTGATTTTTATACGCAGCACGGCACTGACGATATATCATTTTATTTGTAACATCTATGTAAAGTCGTGGCACGCAGTACAAGTATGATTGTTACTAATGTACACCGTAAGTAGAAGGAGACAGAATGCGTTTAGTGAACAATACAGAAAATTTATGACGTACAGCGGTTCGAGTTAAATTCTAATTGGAACACGAGAATCTATCAACCTATTTCTATCACAGCCCACAGCCCGTATGATTCAAACATATTAAGCTCACTGTAGTGAGGCTCCCATTAAATTCATGTGCGCAGACCATTTTTGCGTTTTCACCTGAGCTGTGTATAGACTTCTGGGTTACATGCACTTAGCGTAATGGCAGACATTTTAGAAACATAATATTCAGTCTGTAGTCAGATAACATAATGTTGTACTGTATATGTATTATGGCCTACTGTATAAAAGCAGTAGATATTGGGGCTTGTATTTGTATTTCTCTGTGGATAAACCACCGGTAACATTCGCTTATGCACAGCTAGTTTAGCATTTTATTTTGAAATATAAATAGGCCTAGTTGGTTATGGTTTTAATACTTTTATTCGATGCGTTCTAATTATTATTATTATTATTATTATTATTATTATTATTATTATTATTATTTATTATTATTATTATAGTTGGTATTGAAATTATCGAATATATATTCCTTGTCAGCTTCACTGATATCATTGTGGATGTAGCCCAGTCATCCAGAAATGTCTCAGCGAAAATTGTATGGCAAAATATACCATTAAAATCAGTTACTTGTTCAAATTATTTGCGATTTAATTGAATGTCAAACTGACATTACCACACGTTTTAAACGACGCACGTCTTATACTGTAATAGATTGTTTACATGTGAGTTATATAACATGTAGCCTATTTATGCCCGTGGTGCTATCATGATATGGAACTGTCTTTTAACAAAAAAACATTCTGAAATATTTGAAAGATTTTCTTTGTGAATAAATGTAAACCAACGGGGAAATGGTTCATCTGTATAACAGCCTATAACTGAAATAACGAAGTTTTGTTATATGTAACTTCGTCTTAAAAGAATTTAAATCTGACAATAATAATAACAAATTCATTTGTAAGAATTTATATTGTAGGTAAGTGATCTGTAATCATATTAGCACCGGATTCCCATTTTTATACCGTAGCGAGTCTTTGAAAAAGGCATTTTGAGTATTTGAATATTGGATTGTAATGTATCTGTAGAAAAAAACGAAAAAAAAAATATAACATGGAATATTGAGTACAACCATGTTAACAATAAATGTGTCCTGTTGTATAGATTTTCCTCTGTTCTTTCCAACTGGCTTTAAAAGCCTCCAACGTGCAGCTGAAGTAGGTAACGATTTTAAGAACATGCGATACGTATGTGGAACAAAAAAAAAACGCCTAGCGTCCACCGAGACTATAGCTAGGGTATGTCGACGGGATCGGTTGCCCGAGCCTTGTCCATATATGGTAATAGTACTATCTGCCCACTTCGATTTTCAGAACGCACAGGAGGTAAAATAATGGCTGTTCTGAGTGAGAGGGGGGACAATTTTTAGATTAAGTGATATTGCATGTAGTGTAAATGTATTAGTACGGTTTCGTTATTACTTGTATATTTTTTGTTGTTTTTTTATTTTCAGTTTTCTCTTCGTTTAGCTTTTTTTTTGTTTCCAACCATACAAAATGTGTACGTTTATATTGCACTAATATGTATATAGAAACAAAGAGTATCCCATTATACGTTGTGGAAATTATTAAGTTTGTGTCGGCACGATAGACTCTTGATCCAGCCACAGTTAGTTCGTAGCAGCTGAACCATTCTGTGTTTGCCAAAATGAGGCACTGTTGGTAATGTATTTATTATATGTGTATATGGTCAAACCAGATTCGTTTATTGGGCAGATTACCCATTAATTTGTTAATCTTTTTTAAAAAAAATTTGTTTCATTCTTTATGGATCTGGCTTCCTAGAGGCCAGGCTAATGTAGTATATAGTATACCGGTGTGATTCTACATTATTATTGGAGCGTATTATTATACTAGTGGCAAGTACTATTAAAACTAATGGAAACTTTCGGTATATTGCTGTGTTTTTGTCTCCTTTGTTATGACTCGAACCCGGGAACGTCTGCTGTCTGTGCAGACCCTTGACCAATCTGCCCATTTAGGTTGAGTAAATTCAAATCCGATTAAAGCAGCTCATTCCTCGCACTCCTTTGGGAATGGGCAGTTGAAAAGCACTATAT